CCTCCCCCCTCCCCATGTTACCTCGTCATTGCATTGCAAGTTCTTTTCGTTCTGGTTTGGCAGTACCAGATATCGTGCTTATGTGCCGGGAGTGCTTCGATGTTTGAGGTGGCAACTGGCCTTTGTATGCTCGGTGAACAATTGGGTTATTGCAACTGTGTCGTGATCGTCTTGTCGTCTGCATGCACATGTACTTGCTGCTTTCCACTCTTCCAAATTCCAACACAGGTCATCGCTGCCAGTCTTTCGGAGGAAGAAATGTTTGGTCTGATGGAATTGTTCCGAACTATCGACGTAGACAATAGCAACACCATCACCTTCGAGGAGCTGAAGAACGGTCTCGCAAAGATGGGGTGCATGTCTGCTGAATCCGAACTTCGACAACTTATGTCATCGGTAAGTGAGCATGTACTGAAACTGACAACATTTCAGTTTTCACTTTTACCAGGCAAGGTAAAAAAACAAATAAAAGACTGCCTACCTAGGCTACCAGAGTGGCCCGGGTCCACTTGCCCGGCCGGGCTAAAAAGAAATAAAAAAATAAAAAAATAAGAATTATTTTCTAATTAAACTTTTTATTTTAAATTTGGTGAAGAATTTCGATGTAACCCTGAGGCAAAAATTGTTCAGTTTATTTTTCTGCATAACATAGTTTTTTTGGGGATTTTTTGGATTTTTTTTTTTTTTTTCTGGCTGGGACCTTCCCTGGTCCTCGCACGGCCGGGCCGCCCGGGAAAATAAGGTGACCCGGGCTGCCCGGCTGGTAGCCTAGCTGCCTACATTATTTGGGCTTCCCCTTTTACAAAACAAGGGGAAGAAGGGGGGGCGGGGGGGGGGGAAGGGAGGAACAAGGGACTGCATCTATGCATTGTTGTCTCGTAAAATGGAACACATTCTTCTCATCTTCCTATATAGACAGCTTCACTAGTCTTTCTCATTCATGCAGCAATAAAGAAATCCATCGGACTCCATCCACAGCTTCTCTCCCCACCCGTCTTTCCCTCTTCCCCACTTCTCCCGTCCCTCTTCCCCCTGTCACGCATTGCCCCCAAAAAAGTACACTTGATTGAGGCCGGGTGCAATATGTCAGCATGATCCATGCAGCAAAAGAAGTTCATTCGACTCCATCCACCGCTTCTCCCCCCACTACTCTTCCCCACTTGTCTCATCCCTCTTCCCCCTGTCACTCGTTCCCCGGAAAAAAGTATACTTGATTGAGGCTGGGTCCAATATGTCAGCCTTATCCATGGGGACGACTCCACATTTTGGCGTGGATATACACTACTATAAAGTCTCCTTTCAAAAATCCCTGTTCTAAATTCTAATTGGAAAAAAAAAAAAAAAAATGTTCTCGCAGTGTACTTAACAGTTTCCTTATGGGTGCATGCAACACCCATCTACCGTCTTCGCCCGAATATAACGCCCGGGCATCATAGCTGTATTTGAGCCATTTTCAATCCAGATGCAGCAATAATGACCGGGCGTTCTATTCAGGTGAAGACGGTAGAGCTTCGGTCCTTACAGGTTCGCATAATTTGTACGACAGATAGCTGACTCATGTTGCGGTTGCTTAGCCTTAAAAAAATATGTATTACTCCCTCCATTAGGTCGCCCACCCCATCTCTTGATTCCCATCAGGCTGAGTACCAGGCCAAACGCCCAGAGAAAGATATTAGAGTCTATGGGGACCGATGTATGATGAAGGTACGAAGACTGCCGACTATGTGGAGATTGGAAGAATCAATGCGTTAATTGGGATGTTGCAAATTTTCAGCGATGTATGCGCTGCTATTTAGTGACTGATTAACGGCCTATTCGCAAGAACATTGTCGACTGAATCTGGCCAGAAGTTGGGTCCGATACGTCCGAGAGAGAAAGTCTTGATATGAATATGCCCCAAGGCCAGGGAGCAGCCACAGAAAGGGATGACTATCGTGACTCTGACGGTAACAGAGACTTGGAAATCGGCATGCGTATTCATGCCGGAAGGCGAGAGAAAGGTGTCGCCAAGTCAAGGCTGATAACTCCACGCATTCGCTTACGTCGTGGTGTTTGTTTGTGTTCACGTTCGTGCGGGTCTCAGGCGGACGTCGATGGGAACGGAACTCTGGACTACTCGGAGTTCTTGGCTGCGACTGTTCACTTGAACAAAGTGGAGAAGGTGGAAAACCTCAACATCGCTTTTCAATACTTCGACAAGGATGGAAGTGGTTATATAACAGTGGATGAGTTGGAGCAGGCTATGTCGGAACACAACCTCAAGGACAGGTGGCCGATCGAGGACATCATCAGTGAGGTCGACCAGAACCAAGTAAGCATGATGGGCTGAAAGAGGGAGAAGATGGGAGAAAGGGGGGGGGGGGGGGGGAGAGAAGAAGGGAGAAAAAAAGACTCGCCAGCTACTTTCCGTACCGTCTTTTGAAGTTTGTCGACCTCGTTTCTTTCGGTTTGAGCACGCTTGCAGACTACTTCCCATTTGTCTTTGTTGCACTTGTTTTTTTCGTAGTTTGCATTCGTTTTTATTTTCTTTTTTTTTTCTAATTTTAATCCTTTCGGGGAGGAAAAGAAGAAGGGAGAAAAAAAGACTCGCCAGCTACTTTCCGTACCATCTTTTGAAGTTTGTCGACCTCGTTTCTTTCGGTTTGAGCACACTTGCCGACTACTTCCCATTTGTCTGTCTTTGTTGCACTTGTTTTTTTCGTAGTTTGCATTCCTTTTTTTTTTTTTTTTTTTTAATTTTAATCCTTTCGGGGAGGAAAAGAAGAAGGGAGAAAAAAAGACTCGCCAGCTACTTTCTGTACCGTCTTTTTAAGTTTGTCGACCTCGTTTCTTTCAGTTTGAGCACACTTGCCGACTGCTTCCCATTTGTCTGTCTTTGTTGCACTTGTTTTTTTTTTCGTAGTTTGCATTCGTTTTTTTTGTTTTTTTTTTTTGAGATTTTAATCCTTTCTTTCGCATTCTTTCAATGATTGTCAGCCGAAGGGATGCATGTAAGCATGAAGAATCAGGTTCCGTGTGTTCGATTGGCGAAATTGCATTTTTTAGACACTTTTTGGCTGCACTGTGTTTATCTAACTTTATCAGGAATTTCAAATTTTGTAGATCGAGCTGAGGATCTGTTTAAGTTCAATCAGCCAGGTTGCTGTTTTCTGGCTGATTCACAATTTCACACAGAGAGAATTTGAGGCTGATGAAGTGTTATTTCAACTTATTTGGTATTCAGCGGGCATGTTTCGAAAACTGCTTGCAAAATCCTGTACGGGCTGCGCTACGTGCGATTTGTCCTGAAATTTTCAGCGAAATGTAGTTGTGAGTCTGTTTCGCTTGTTGCTTCTCTTTTTGTGGGAATGTGCTGGAAAAAATGAAATTGAATTTACCGTGAATGTTGCGGTGACTTTTCCATGACATGCCCAGTGGATTTGCAATGTCTTTGTGAATTTGCTGCAAAGTTGTTGTGATTTATTGCTGATTTGTCATGCATCGCTTCTGAGTGAAAACGAACCGCTGATGCTTTCTTGTCCAGGATGGGAAAATCGACTACCAGGAGTTTGTCAGCATGATGACAGGAGGAAATGGCATCATTCGCAGGAGAAGCCTCCGTGCAAGCATGCATGTGCAACCAGTCATCCCAGAGGGTAGCACGTGAGGAAGATCGATATCTGGCTATGATCCACTGAGTTGACGAAGCCATGCATCGTTGCATCTCTAGAATTTTGCAGTCCAGTCTCAGCTGCCAGAATGCTTTCCCCTCTCTGCATTGAAGACCTTTGCGGTTGGTTGGCAACACTGTGAACTGGATTGCTGACCGTTTCCCAGCCCCGGTACCAAGTGTGTAAGACATCGAGTTCTGAACTCATTGGAGGCAAGTTGGAGAGTGAGCGGGGGGGGGGGGATGGTAAGTGTGTGTGTGTG